ACCTTGGTATATATACCCTTGGTATATATCGGCCAATTTCTACTATTTTTCCAGCGATCCGCGGTGCCTGGTAGAGGCTAGTCGGGGCGACAGGCACGCACTGCCGCCGCATTGCTTACGGGAGGCCAGGCGCGCGTTACCGAGCGGGGGATCAATGTATGCACGACGATCTGCAGGGGCCGCAGCGCAGGATCGTAAAAAATGGCCTAATAGCATACATAATAACATCTACATAAGACCTACACGAACCAGCGCCCACCCCAAAATTTCCAGTACGAAATAAAAATACCAAAATTTTATCGATCCTGTCAATAGTAGAATAATTTGCACTGCTGACAAGGAAAAATCCTGTCAGCAGTGCAAATTATTCTACTATTGACAGGACGATCCTGTCAGCAGTGCAGTATTTTCTGCTATTGACAGGACGATCCTGTCAGCAGTGCAATATTTTCTGCTATTGACAGGACGATCCTGTCAGCAGTGCAATATTTTCTGCCATTGACAGGACGATCCTGTCAATAGCCACAGGCTTGCAATTTTGTTTTTGAGTTGCAACACGCTTGGAGCAAAACGTGGTGCACTGATGTTGTTATGCTGTGAAAATTATACCTCTGGACATTAAGCTATCTTTAAGAAGACTATCAGCAGATAGGTAAAAAGCAGAATCAACATTTAATTGCAGAACATGAGCCGGCGGTTGATTATAAAGACAATCCTGTATGCTGAACTGGGGTTTCTTGGAGCAACCTACATTGTCTGGCATAGGATGAATACAAGTCAAGGTGAGATATTATGTATGGTATGATATGATATGATATGATATGATATGATATGATATGATATGATATGATATGATAGGTGTTTTGACAAAAGGTATCTTATGCACTAGAGTGATCACCCGAGAAGGCTTCTTAAGTGTCATAATTATTAAACTAATTATCATATCATAATTGTTAACGTTCATCAAGATTGGCTTACTAAAATTGTATATGACGTTACATATATAACAAATACACATAATGTTACATTTGTATATGTTATATCATCTTTATTTTGGCCATTGCTTAACTTCTCAGTTTTGACGATCCAAGTCAGAGCTGAGAGAAGTACTAGACGTAGTATTGTAAAGAGTTGGACATAAAATTTCAGTTTTGTTTCCAGATTTCAGACATTACATGCATCAGAAATGGCCGTCCATCCTGGAGGGTGAGAATATTTTACTTATTATATTTGTTGAGTTTTCCTCGATCAAACATTTGACTTAATTTTGATTTATGGATGATATCCACTTGCTGAAATAATTTTTGCTTGTCCCAGGCTCCACGGTACCTTCATATTCGCATTTTTTGCGATCACTTTTGTACCGCAAATTTGTCATTACCTTGAGCAAATATTTCGCCGACTTTCTTTTCTCAGCACCTGTCCTCATTGTGAATATAGTAGTTTTGTAAACATGTCCATTTTTCTCAGACCTCAAACTTTTGCTACCACGAATATAAAGTGATTTACAGTATACATCCTAGATCTGTGAACAACATGTCAGACTTTGAACAAGACAGCCTACATGTACCTACCTTTGGTCATCTATACCTACCTCTTACAAACTAAGAATTTGTTGCTTGTTAATGTTAGACAGGCTGTGATCTGTGGTTCCTTTCATATCACTAGCTTTGTATTCCTACGGTTTAGCAGCATTTTTACCTTCGCCAAGAATTGGAGAAGGTTATGTTTTCATGGCCGTGTGTGTGTGTGTGTGTGTGTGTGTCTGTCTGTCAACAGCATAACTCAAGAAAGCTTAGATGGATTATCTTGATATTTGGTAGGTGGGTAGGTCTTGATGAGAGCTCAAACTGATTAGATTTTGGGCCCCCTGGCGGCTTCTTATGGTACTGCAGCTGAACTTCCGGTTTTGATATCTCATGATCTAGACATGCTAGGGTGACGAAATTTAAATGGTAGGTAGCTCTTGTGCTGGGGAAGAAGTGACATCAGTTTGCGCCCCCTAGCGGCTTGCTCTGGAACTGCAGGGCTATCTGTTTTAAAATATCAAAAAGAGCATAACTCAAGAACCTGTTGACGGATCGTCGTGATTTTTGGTATGTAGGTAGCTTTCATGATGCTTGATATAATTATATGACAATTATGCAAATATGGATGTGATTTGCATAATTTATGGGGAGATTCTATAAACCAGCTGCATTCCATGATAAGACTATTGAAGCTTGTGAGATTGGTAATTGAGAAGGAGAGAAACACAGGCAGATATTGATTATGTATATGAGGACATAATTTGCATAATTAATGAGAAAAGGTTATAATTCTGTAATGATGACTGCCTGGAATTTTTATACATGTGGTATGTGAAAGTTCAGTGAAGGTAAACATCATTAAACATAATATATTCAAATCAGGACCTTATTTGCATAATTTATGAGGAAACAATAGAATGGCACAATAATTTGTCAGCCATAAAGATTAACATCATTTGGCGAAGGTATGAGATCGAGGAACTCTAGTTGCTGTATATTTTCCCCTCTTGCAATAGTTTTGAGGGTTTCCAGAGAATGTCATCCATAGAATTGAGTCAGTATGGCCAAACTGTGAATTTGAACAGATGTAAAAGAAAGTGTATCTTTCCATCTCATACAGCGGTGCAATACATGTACAGTGCTGCCAAAAATTGTTCCCAAGCCTACATATTATAACTGTTAGGCTAAAACTTACTATGACAGTTTTTTCGTCTCCCCTCACCAGGGTTCTACAAAACTGGGGAAATGTCAGGATACAGGGAAGCCAGAATAGCAGACTACAAGGCCTGGGGACTCCCTCATCCATTTGAAGAACTGTCAAAGAAGAGCTAGCACAGATCATGCACCAGCAAGATTTTCTCTCAAACAAGCCTCTTAACAATTTTGACCAGATTTACATGTGAGCAAAAACCTGACGGTACAAAAACTGTGTACGTTGAATTTTTCCTGCATGTAAATCGGCCTGCTTTGACATACGTCAAGAACATACAATCTGGACATACGTTCTTGATGTTGGCAAACAAGTCAATTTACACATAGGAAAAATTTGACATATGCAGTTTCTGTAGTTACCCTCAGGTTTTTTTGTAAATTTGGTCCATGTCAAACTATTCTGTAAAATCTTCATTGTTTTCATAGGTTTATCACAAGTACATGTAGTTACAAAATGTATGTACTCTTGTTGTACCCGACTTCAAGTAGTTACTGCTACCAATACTTTAAGTTTACAGTCGTCTTTCCTTAGTGTTACACATAAATTGTGTGATATCATCTGCTGATCAATGTAAGCTTCTGAATGGAAGGACTTTTTCGACATAAAACTGTATAAAGTTTCCTCAACCTTTCTTATTAGAATTCTTTTTTCCTTAATCAGTTAACAGGTTCAAACAATTAACAATGTTTATTCCTATACAGGTGTCAGACTAACTAGAACTGACCCTTTTAATCATAATGATTTAATTTATAATGTGATCTTGTCGATTGAAAAATTATTTAAGGAGTTAAGTCATGATTGTTTTGGAATTTATTATTTTGCATCAATTCTGTCTGTCATAAATTTGCTCAGCTTGGATGCATACGGTGATTGCTAAACCCTGGTTGATATGGAATGTTTGTTCAACATGTCAAATGCAGCATTTCCACAGCATCAGAGATGCTGTTATGATCTTCAGGATGAAGACTTTGTCAATCTGTACTTTGCACAACTCAGAATATTACAACTATCAAGATGTAAATGTCCCTCTCTCTAGCAGTAAGGATCGTATTGCAGTTCCTCTGGATTCTATGTTGCTTTTGTAATGTAAGAATAAATCATAGTTTAGTTCCCTTTCCATAGTCCAATATCTTCATTTGTACTATTCTATTGCAGCACAGGGCACTAGTAGTAAGACAATAGCCTTTCTCGTTCTTTGAATTCTGTCATACTCAATGCATGACCCTTGAGACAAAGTGTAGTGCTTTTTTTTACTTTATAATTGCGGTACTTTTAAATTCGCGGTCACCTCTGTACTGTGAATTGAACATTATGGCAGGAACAAAAATTTGCCAACTTTCTTTCTTCTTCATGCCACCACCGCCAACTGTCCATTTTTCTGAGATTGCAAAATTTTGCTACTGCAAATATAAAGTGATTTACAGTACTCTCCAAGCAGATAGTACTGGCATCTTTTCTCACCAGCAAATTGATACTGGCCTGTCAATTCGATACCATCTTGCAGCCACAAAAAGATGATAGAGTACTCATACCCCTAAAATAATGACCAACTACAAAAAAAATGAAGAAGCAGACACCATAATTGATGGCTTTATACCTTTGTTTTTTGGGGCTATAAATTGCTCAGTAAAAGTTTTCCTCTTTATTCAACATTAGCTTAGAGGATCCAGGAGATGTCTTACACACTTAGATATTAATCGAAACATCTCATGAAAATAAACAAAATGTACAGAAAAAAGTTTTACGGGATACAAGTTACCGACTAGGTGATAATCGTCTTCAGAGCATTATGTACCATAATGTAGAAATTTGTTGTGTACAGGTTTTTCTATTGTTTTAGTCATTTTCATTTGCATCACCCCAAATACTACTAACAACACAAGTTAACATACTACTGCAAAATACATCTTCTCATCAATGCACTGCCAGCCAGATGTAAGGCAATAGACATCAGTCTGATACATGACACTAGCGTGTTCAAAAAGAATGCAACCACTATCAAAATATATCTTCACCTCATTACATTTGTATTGAAACACTTAACACATGCTGTATTGTATGCAAAATAGAGCCTCATACTGTGGGAAGCTATAAGTATTGGGCTGGAAGTGATCATATTTTTTTTTTCGAGTAGGTAATTTTGGCACAATTTATACAGTCAATTATCCAACAGTTTTCAAACAGTGAAAACTTAATTTGGGATCATCAATTTTATATAAACTGTATTGCCAAATACCTATCTGTTTTTTTGGTTATTTTTCAATGGAAGATACTGATGGAAATCCTACCCACTGATATTACTCTACTAGAAGCACCACTACCATATCAAAATATTTGATGTGGAATGTGAAAGCTAAAAATGGCTTTTGGACAAAGAGAGCTGTGTAAGGCAAATAGTTATTTCCAAATCCTGGAATTCACATTCAACTTGTTTCAAACATGGGTCTGTACACTTGCACAGTTGCGAACTGTAGAGGACAAAATCTATGGAGTCATTCAGGAACTTTTTGTAAAGCTGAAAAAAGCACACTTTCCGAACATTGGAAGGCATCGACAAGGAAGGGCATTGAAAAGTGCATAATTTATACATCTGAATCCTTTTGTACAAAATAGTACAGAAATTAGACATTGTTTTTGCTGCCTCAGTCAATGATTCAATCCATGATCTAAACACAGGTGTAGTAAGTTTGACATTACTTGAAGTTTAGTCATCAGGTAATCACCTATCAAGTGTTTTGTAGAGTAAGACATGTCCATGCAGGTAACTTTCTACACCAATTTTTTGTTAATATTTTGTTGTGGTGGTGACTATCAACTACGGAATGTGGTAGTGCATGCTCAAGCATTTTTTTGTTTTCCCCAGCAGACAAGACTAACTATCTGGAAGGCACAATGTCCGTCTGCCACCACTTTTGTTCATGTTGTCCAAGCTGTGTGTCATCCCGTCCCTCTTCACCTAGTATCAACACAGTACTGGATCTGCATGCAACAGAACATCTGAAAAAAAAAAAACACATCAAAGATTTATAGACAAACTCTGCTGCAGTTCCTGAACATGGTGATAGGAGGCCTGACTCATATCACTCTTCACGAGCGCAAGACCTACAATGTATCTACCAGCCAAAATTTGTGGCACAGGCCTGTCCAGATCGCGAGTTATCCAAACAAGAAGTTCTGCAGCAGTACCATTATAAGCTGCCAGGGGATAATCTGTCCAAACCTTATGGGGGTAATCGTGTTAACACTGAAACACACAAATGCCACCAAAACATAACCTTAGGCCACACCAATTTCATTTCTTGGTTAACGGATTCGCCCGCTTCATTTTTTTCTGATTTGCAAATAAAAACAAAAATTCAGAATCAACTGCAAAATGCGCATATTTTGCCCTGAACAGTTGAATGAAAACAGTCCTTTTCATCCTAGTTGTTACAGTTATTCCACCTTTCAATGCCATAGTATCATTAAAAGTTCAAACTTCATTGTTTAAATTTTGAACCAGCCTGGTGTGTTGACTTCATGGCTCCTATTGTACCATTTTGGGCCATAATAGGATGCCTAGGCCTGTATTTATTATTTTTTTTCGCCCACTCCATTATTTTTCTAGAAAAATCTGTTAACCAAGAAATTAAATTGGTGTGGCCTTATTGGCTGAAAATGATGTCAATAGAGGCCTTTTTGATTCTGTACATGTTGAACAAATAGGTGAATGATGGCACACAAATATCAAAGCAGTAAAGAGACAAAAACTTAAGCACTCACTTGTAGAGAATCATGACATTGTGCTGCACTTCAGCTCCATCATAAAATGTTGCACTTGGTGCTTTCCTTGAAGGGGTTTTGTGACGACGGAATGCCCACCAACAAGCCGTCGTGCTGGGCATTCTGCTGGGTGTAGTTCCTTAGGCTGAAAATGGAAGACATCGTCCTTTTGAATTGGGAAATCTTAAAGTTGTGTCGATATAGTCAAGTCAAGTTTATCACACAACGATTGTCACGGGTACAATGTATGGCAAATAACTAAGTTACTAGTTGGTATGAGTCTATCATAATGCTACATATATGGTCAACGGTTACTGTGTCTGACAGAGTGTTATAAAGAACTACTGGCTAGAAAATACTTCGACTCTACATGAGGGCCTGCAAGGGGGTGTAGTGATTACGAATTACGCAAAATTTTCGCCGCCTATTCGAATTACATTTAAGTCTCAGAGCTGATTATGACTTAACGATTTGCGGCTAATGTCCAATTAGGAATTACGTTGATTTTTGCGAAGGCTGCCTACGAATTATGAAGTCTAAAAAGGCCTAATTACACCTTTCGAAAAAGGGCTTGCAGGCCCTCCTACATGTACGTTCAGTTCTATATATTTACGCTAAACTATACTTATGAAGGGTACAGTGAGCAGTTGTACCTATACAAAACATGTTCTATGACTACAGTACTAAACAGAGTGTAGACTAAGTTACTTGCCAGGAATGTTACAATTCTACATAAAAACTATACGATACGCTGCACTATGTACATGTATTCAGTGACTCTACTTATACAGCTATTCTTAGATTTCTTTTTTGCATGGCATAATTTTACTAGCTCAAATCATGCAGAAGTACACTGACTGAACTTACTCCATCCGTTGTTTACTTTGTACGGTTATAAACTATATCCTGTCAGAATTCAAAATTATAGTCAAACGGCTCAGCAACTTCAGGTCTAAAGAATCTGCACGACATTTAGTAGTACGAATATTTTCCGTATAACAGTTGGGCCTCGGCCATGTTTGTTTGACAACTGATAGCCTGCTCTACATGTTTACTTACTCCGCCGCGGCCTGAGAGACTTTCACCCTCTCCATGTTCGCTTCCCTCCGCAGTTGCTCCACCTGCTTCTTCATCATCAACACCGCGTTGTCTTGGCTCTTCCCCCAGCTAGACATTGTCCCCAATCCGCCCCGTACTCCGCTACAAAATGTGACAAAACTGGACGATGTCGCCCCGCTCAGGAGAAGACACAAAAATGGCGGATAGAGTAGGTTGTTCCAAATAACACCCGGGGGACACCATTAGCAGGCACTTAACTATTCGATTAAAATAATCCATTATTGCTCAACTGAAAGTTACGAATAACTACATATATGTAAGAAAAATAAGCATATCTTATAAAGTGATACAGGTCATGTTGTGGGTGAATATTGCAAGATTTTATTTTACACTCATATTAATTTCCTACCTGTCAGTATTGTGGTATAGTCTAATGACGCAAGCTCTGGGATAGTCCATCATAATACAAATGGGGGGAGAAATTTGCGAATTCAACACATGTAAAGTTTTCATAACAACTTTATGCATAATCATGATGTACCAACATAAAAAAGTGTGACAAATTGGTTAGAAAATGTATCTCAGAAAGTCAAGTTAGATCATTGAATGATCATTGAACGTAGTTACACCTGTTCAACAATTGTTGTCGCCCCCTATTTAGGCCGTACTGATGTCATCGCCCAACCTTGGCAAACGAGTGATCCGAGTGATCCTGAGGTCACCCAGCAAGCTTGCTTGTGTGGTCTTTCTTCATTCCTGTGATCATCCTCAGCGGTAACAGACAGTACAAGAAGACAGTTATGTCTATGGGCAGGGGAATAATGGCTATAGCAGTGGTGGGAGGCACCTGCATTGCTGGATATAGCATAATGGCAGTTATAAGTCCTAGCAGAGAAACCATGCTGCAGGTTAGTTCACATATATAAGCCTTGCATAAAATCTAAACGTTAACTTATATACGCTACACTGGTATACAGTGCATTAGACTAGTTTCCTCCTTTATAAAACGTTTGGCTCATTTCTTTTTACCCAATTCGTTGATTTTTTTTCACAACGTTATTTACGAAAAAGCAAAAAGATCAAAACAAGTTGCTTGGCGCCACACATCTGCTTGTGTGCTATTGTATAACTGGAAAATTATGAAAATATGACATCCTGGTATCGGTGGTGTTCGTGTTACTACTGGTGCCATGATGCTAAAAAATCCATACTGTATTTATTGACTTAAGGCCACACCAATTTAATTTGTTGGTTTTCAGATTCGCCTCTTCATTTGTTTCTGATTTGTAAAAGAAAGATTCTGGTTCTGAATCAACTCAAAAATGTTCATACATTGCCCCTAACTGTTGAGGAAAGTCCTTTTCTTCTTACTTGTTACAGTTTTTCCATCTGTCAACGCAGCCTGGTTTGATTAAAAGTTCAAACTTCATTGTTTAAATATTAATCCCAGCCTTTTGTGTTGAACTTTCATGATAATCTAGCAATTGGTTTCGTGTCATCTTTTAGACCACACCAATTTAATTTGTTGGTTCTCGGATTCGCCTCTTCGTTTTTTTGCTGATTTGCAAAAAAAAAAATTGATTCTTTTCCTGAATCAACTGAAAAATGCTCATGTTTTGCCCCCCAACAGTTGAGGAAAGTCCTTTTCTTCCTAGTTGTTACAGTTTTCCCATCTATCATTGCAGTGGTTTGATTAAAAGTTCAAAATTCAATGTTTAAATTTTAACCCAGCCTTTTGTGTTGACTTCATGGCTCATTTTGTAGCATTTAAGCCTATAATAGGATGCCTAGACCTGTTTTTATTTTTATTTTTTTTCGCCCTGTCGCTTCATATTTTTTCTGAAAAAATCCGAGAACCAACAAATTAAATTGGTGTGGCCTTAGTACATTGCAAGTTGATGGCTCTTCATTTATTTGTGCTACAGTATCTTTTCAGTTGTAATATAAGTGGCATCAGTGTATTCCTCTTCCCACAGAAATGTCCAGAGAAACACCCTGTGGCCATGTTGGAGAGTCAGCAGAGATCCGCCTCTGTCATGTCAGTTCTTAAGTACGCTGCAGAGACTGACCAAGCGGCCTGGAATGACAAATTCTGGTTTGACCAGAAGAAACACCAGAAACAAGACTGAACATTTAGAGAAACTCGTGGAAAGAGAGGACACTGTTTGCGCTAGCCTAGCCTCTTGTGCAGACTTCTAGCAGGGCAGCATTTTAGTGGAATTTTCTATTTGACCTTGTTTGGGGAAAGCTACATGTATATCCATGGAGAAAGCTGTATCACCTGCACTAGTTGTATCCCTGGCACCTGAAGTTGTTGAAGAGGCATATCTGTTCATGGCATACTAGTAACTCCTTCTGCTGCATTTATAGAGAACCTTTGCCCATGTAAAAAAATATGGTGTATCAGGACCCCCCCCCCCCAAAAAAAAATGCTGCTGCTCCAAGAAGGCTGCAAAAGAGGCTACGTAACTTGGGCCAGTCTTGAGACTCCCTCTAATGGTATATATTATGCTGAAACGCACAATTTTTGTATCTTCGTAATGTCTTAACTTCAGTGCGAAGTAAGTAGTCTGTTGGTTGTGCTCTCCCACTAGAAACTACCAGAGGGTGACCCTGCAAAGATGGCCGAGAGCAGAGCCAGATCAGCGCTCATGATGGCCAAACTGAAGGAGGTCGCCGAGTCAGACAAGCCGTTTTGGATGGAGGAGGACAGGGATGGCAGGAAACGATAGCAGCACTTCCAGAACAAGAATGTACTAAATGGAATGACTTTTTTGCAAGGACTGTCTGTAATAAATTAGGATCAGCGTTGTATGTGCATCCCTAAGAGAGTAGATTGATTTGCTGTGACTGTGATACGAGTTACTGTTTGGAAATTATGTTGTATATAGAAATTGATGAACAAAATGATGAATTGACATTGAATATGATCAAGGACATTATCTCAATATTATGTAGGGTCCTTGTTATTATAAACATGTAACACGTTATATGCCAGAAGTGGACCCAGAGAAAAGAACTCTGAAAGAGACCTAAGTCAGCTTACAGATGTGCCCTATGTGGCAGAGATTGTTATTCTCATATAGGACTGTTCAGGAGACAATTGAAGGGTGTGGTAAAGACCTTTTTTTAAGCATATTGATGATTATACAATTGACTTAGGTTATGCAGTGATACACTCTTATCTAGTTGTCTTTGTTGCTGTACATCTAAATATTAAATAAATTACATCTAACTGCATTTTACTCACCATATCGAGTCTACTGGATCTACCAGTTACAAGTTATAGCTAGACTAGCAAGTCATATATTAAGTGAAAAAAAATATTTTAATCATAAGACCACACCAATTTGATTTCATGGTTCTCAAATTTGTCTGCCTCATTTTTTTCATACTGTCATGTACTTATTATGTTTAAACTAGTGTACCTTGGTGTACTATTCAGGGCCTGCAATCTGAATCAGAAATCCAACAAATCAATTTTATATATAATAAATATTATTCATTTTAATAGTTTAACATGTATAATGCCAAAGTGCATGTACATTTATAATGTTTCTTTTTTTTTTCAACATACATATAAGTTGCACCACTCGTGTTGAATTCAACTAAATATTTCAAAAATTCACCATTTTAAGGACAATACAATGTACCTCAATTAGTAAGCATTTCCTCTTCGTGGTAATGTTACCAAAATGAATGATAAACAACTGTACTATGAAGAGTGTGCAAATTCATGGCAAGAACATAAGACATTTTTTTTAGTACAAAGTGCACCACAGTGTGGTCATGAAAGTACGATTGCCTGACTTTGATTACTACTTTGACCAGTTTCTCCTCCTTGGTGAGTTTATAGCTTAACTGTTCCTGGACCATTTTGTACTGAAGACATCTCTTGAGGCTTGGGCAATGAAAATTTGATTGTACAAAATTATAACCAGACCTAGAGTTCCAGGATCTCAACCTTTAGCCAAATGATGTGAATGAATGGGTGAACTTCTACCAGAAACTAGTTGAGAAAAAAATAAGTTTCAAGTTAACATAAAAGTGTTACTTATAAGACTGGGAGATCTATCTCATTGTGAGTATAAGCCAAATACTAAGAGATGTTCCTGCCCTGAAGATGTGCTGTACTCTGTACATCTTAACCAAATCCATTCAGATATGGTAGGGATATTGTACATGCGTTCCATAGTGCACATGGAACCACACGCTGTACAACCCTGGACAGGAGGCACGAGCCTTCAGGTCTCTCCAAGCATCTTCAGACCTGTCGTACACAAGGACAAGACAGTCCTCTTCCTCTCCCTCTTCTGCCATTGAGTTATCAGGCTCTAACCATACATGCAGCTGGTTCTCCAGTACAAAGAGATGATGGGAAAATAAAAGGTTCCTGGGGTTAGGCCAGGCTTGCAGTGCCTCCCAGCTGTCTGACACTGTGTTGTACACCATGATCTTGGTGAAGTTGTCATCTGTGCAAAAGATTTCTGTTCCCATGGCAACGGCTGTGCTGAGGTGCGGAATGGTTCTCGGCGGGGTCCTGGCGTCCCACTGGTCGTGGACTGGGTCGTAGCGATGCACTTCATGAGAGTTCATGAGGAAATAGAGGTGTGAACTGCAGGGAACTACAACGCAAAACATCACACGTCCTTCTTCGACAATTCGCAGCTGTGAACACTCCTGCCATTCCTCTGCGTCCCGGTTGTACCTTCTGGTCTCCACCAATATAATGTGGGAAAAATTGACCGTTGGTAATTTTTGTTAATTGTCTAGAAAACCCCTGTTTCTTTTGTTTCGGCCCGTAACCTTTGACACGATCACGTGATTCGCCATTCGACTTGACGGTACGCGGGTGCCGGTCTTGCATTTGTTTGTCTCTTCATCTGGCGTTTTTTGCGAATATGGAGTCTGATCGTGAGAAGAAGAGGAAGAAGAAGAGACGATGTTCCGTGTGTCGGCTACCAGTGAAAGGACACCCGGGACCATACGGCCGCGGCAGGTGCACTTTTGAGCGACCAGAAGGTACCTCAGATGAAGACTTTTTCGGACGACAGCGGGGTAGTGCTAACGTCCAGGAGAAGATCAGAGGCCTTCGGCGGCACAGTAAAGTTCCGGAGCTAGTGCGTAAGGCCTGGTCGGACAGCCTCTCGGAAGACGCGGAAGAGGAGGTGAGGTTGGCTAGATCATACAACCTAAAGAAATCGTCGGATTACGGCGGAGAGAAAGCCAGCGTTCGAGCAAGAAGTGAACCCCCTCCCCAGGTTTCCCGCCAACACGCACGTGATCGGAGCAGGGAGTATGCACAAGGGAAAGACCAGCCCGACATACGAGACCTGAGAGAATCTAGGAAATTGGTCAAAGAGGTGGACAAGGCTTTGGACGACTTGTTACATCCAGTTACAAGCCAGGAGAGGAGGATCAGCGACAAACGCCTTGACGAGAGTCCCGGTTGTACCTTCTGGTCTCCACCAATATAATGTTTTCCCGTACAATATCTTTCACAGTGATAAAGTAGAGGTGTTCCTCAATTTCAACAAAGAATTCTTCCATTCCCCAATCCTGTGCAATGAACCTGCGTACTGGAGACATACCAGTATTCTCCCACTCCTTCCACGCCTGGTTGTACTCTAACACGGACAACTGATAATTAGCCGACTCGTCAATAAGGATGAACAAATCATTGTCGGTGGTAGCTGTCATGCCTACCACTAATTTGTCTTCCAGATGGGGAGGCAAGCTGATATTGATGTACTTCCCTTGCCTGGGGTTCATGCAGAGAATCTTGCTGGGTCTGGAAAGGGCAGAATGCATTTTTGAACTAGAATTCCGAGACCTCATACCTCCATGAAATATGATCTTGATATGTAAATGTAAATTTCTTCTTTAATTGTGCAAATGACCTCTGCATTAACATGATATATGCATCGTGATGTATGTTAAATTTTGATTAACTTACAGATGTCTCATCATTCACCATTACGAAACCATAGAATTTTCGCATTAATTATGCAAATTAGGTCATCATTTGCATAATTAGTATCTGTTGAAGTTCCGCCTGCCATAGGTTACATACATTACATGTATGTAAGTAGTATAATGTAAAACACTGTACTTATAGAATTTCCTCATTAATTATGCAAATAAAGTCCTCATTTGCATAATTTGCATTTAATTATGTACATCTCTCTCTCAGCTACCTACACACCAAAAATAATGAAAATATGTTGTTCCTGTCTGGACTTATTGGCTTTTAAACATTTCGCCAGAAAGTGCCCTGCAGTTCCAGAACAAGCCGCTAGGGGGCCCAAACTCATAAGACGTCTTCCCAAGCACGAGAGCTACCTTCCATCAAAATTTCATGACCCTAGCATTTCCAGATCGCGAGATATCAAAACCGGAAGTTGCGCTGCAGTACCAAGGGAAGCCACTAGGGGGACCAAAATCTCATCATTTCCAGTTTTCGTCACACCCTACCAACACACCAAGTATGAAATCAATCCATCCAGGCGTTCTTGAGTTATCTTGTTGACCAACAGAAGGACGGACAGACAGATAAACACAACTGAAAATATAACCTCCATGACACATTTCATGGAGGTAAATATGTTGTTATGAGATACATGTATGACCAAGGCCATGTATTGTTGTGCATCTGACACTGGAATCCAATCTCCGGTTCTATATGGTCCTGAAGCCACACAGTTGTGCAATCACTACAACAAGGGGGCTAGTCCACCATTAAAATGTGCTAAGAATATTAAGTACTTATTTTTCTGTAACCTGCAATTTAGCAAAATGTCAGAAAGTTTAACTGCAATATGAGAGAACTTTCTTTCTGCAAATAATCGAGCATGTACATAGCTTCAGCTGTTTAGAATATACATGATAGGACTTTGAGTGAAAGAAGAAATATATATACAGACTCCAAATTGAAAAGACAGGCCATTTCCAGAGTGTCCATCCCAAATCTCTTCTTCTGGACAGAAGCCTCCTTTGTCACATTCCTGATGACCTGAATACTCCCAGGATCCTCCCTGATCAGGGGGTGTTTTAAGATGGCTGCCATGTCGTCTGAGGTCAGCAGGTTGAAGCGGATGTGAGGGAGGATGCTGGGTAGGTGGGGCAGTCTGTAGGGTACAGGGTAAGGGCAGAATTAGCTGATTTTCTGGCATCATAGTACTATGTAACTTCTTTATGAATCAGTAAAGTAACATCTTTACTGACTCAATCCTATGGATGACATCTGATCTGCATGCACCATCCTTAATGTTTTCTGGGATAGAAAGAAGAGGTTGAAAGATAAAGAAGATGATGCCAGAGGTAGGGAAGAAGGCCTAGCTTACAGTTGCTTGTACCACCAAGTCTTCCAAAGTCAAAGAAAATGTAGAAGAACAAAAACATACAATTAATTGTTATGCCATGCTCTGTGTGTTCAGTCATTTGTTCAACCTTCCTGATGACTCAGATTTCATAATGAAGGAAATTTCTTGGAAGGCTAGCATCAGTTTTTGGGAGCTCAGAGGTAATCCATATAGTTAAAAGTATGATCTTATGTTTTTCATGTAACAACAACAATAAAAGAATAACAGACATACTTGCATGTAATAAGCCTTGGTCATAGCCCTTATCTACTAGACACCAGTAACTGTTGAACCAGTAGAACACTGCTGCCCACCTGTCCTCTGTACTGTGCTGCACCCATCTCACCACAGCCTCCCACACTCTTGTCTCCTCTTCAACATCCAGCTCATCATGGCTGATGATCTCAGTCAGCTGATCCACACTAAGGCTGCAGAACTCCTCACTGGAGGAAACCTGTGGGTAAGGTCACGACAGTTCATCTGTGTTGGTAGTTTGTTACATGTTTGAAGTTAAAACCATTGTACGAATACTGGACATTGAACGGGACTACTTCCTGAGAGGGGTAAAATAGGTTATCAACTTTACATCGATCAGGACCCATCACCCTTCACTCAACCAAGACAGGGGCCAACATCATTTATCAGATATATTTGACCCAGTGTTATTAACTCACACTTCAGAGAAGCCACATGACCAGATGCACTGGGTCAGTCTATATTGAACAAGACCAGAGTGACTGCAAAAGCTCTATGTAAAAACAATTCTTTTTGTTGGAACAAAATTAACAACGTGTGGATATGTGAGTTATGTTCAAATGAATGGAAATCCAAACATACATGTAGAAGTTTAACGGTTCAACAGAGCCTTTAAATTAGTGTAATAACAATGTACAAATGTACATTGTATAAGAAAACCAACCTTCACAAAATG